CCCCAAAACCCCAAAACCCCAAAACCCCAAAACCCCGTTATTGAAAATTTGCACATTGAGGCTAAAGTTTATTAATCCAAATATATTAATTAGTTAGCTTAATTGAGGATTCTAAGTCTCTCAAAGTTTCTTTAACAATAACTTGACCCTATTCAAAGCGATTAATTATAGGATGTCTATCTTACTAAGGAGTTTTAGTGATGATTCTTGCAGTCTGCACAACTGTTGATTCGCAAGCTGCAAAAAGCATTGCTATCTAATGGTTGCCGTATCTTTTAGCGAGATCTATAATGATATATAAAGGACAAAAGGAGTATTTACCAAGAGGAGAATCTCCCAAGCGGTTCTTGATGTTTGGATTACCTCCTTTCATGAGAAGGAATTTAGAAATCTCCATATTCTTATTTTACCCACTACATTAATGTAGAGGTGTCTCTCCAAAGTTATTTTGAACGTTCACATCGATACCCCTTTAAAAATGACTTTAAAATATGCATATATACATCTTAACCAGATACTCAGTTATCTCATATTGATTGTGCTTCACTGCTAGATGAAGTAGATTGTTGTTAAGATCTGGATCATCATAGATATTTAGAAGTGCTTGTCCGTGTCTTTCCATCATGATTAACTAATCCTTCATTCCATTTTGAACTGCACTTATCAGCTGTTCTCTATAGTGATGAGATTTATAATGATTTTTGACTTACTTTGTTCCCTTAGATTCATTAATGTGCTTATCATACTCCTTAGATGCTAGGATCTTTTTACAGTATGGGCACTTGGAGAAATTCTTCATGCAATAAACAGTGTGTAAATCATAGTTTTTTCTAGCTACATCTTGCTCACTAAGGAATTCATGAATTCAATGAATAATTCAATTACCAGTTATCGCATCTGAGGCTGTCTAAATCAGCAATCACACTATTAGTCTGATTGATATTCTCCTTGAGAACGGCAACTGATCTGTTACTTCTCAGACCACCACCACCGTTTTCCTTCATCTAATTTCTCAGGTGGAAATTTTCATCTTTAAGTTGCTGATTCTCTCTGAGCAGCTGTCGGACTTCTTCTTACAATCTCTGGTTCTCTCTTTCAAGGAACAGTGCCTGATAAAAGTTGGATAAGTAAATACTATCTCAGATTGCAAGTCCTTACCTTTTCATCTTGGAATTCCTTAGTGAAATCAATATTAGGAGTTGATTATTGGTTAAGAGGATAGAGGTTGAGTCCTGGAAGTTGCTGTGGAAGTCTATTCTTCTTCATTTAATAAGAATTTTTAAATTTGAAATTAACTCTTACTTAACTGCTTATCTAGATGCAATATAAGCTTTTTGGGGTTTTGGGGTTTTGGGGTTTTGGGG